GGTGGTGGAACAGTAACACTAGGGATAGGAGTAGTAGAGACATGTGTAGACTGGTTTAACAAACTAGAATAAGGAAACTCTAGTTCATTGAAAAACATATGTCTAGAAATACACACCTTGTGTTTGAGAACATCAAAACATATATATTCTTTATATTGAGATGTATTACCAAGAAACACACATTTAGTAGTGTTAGCTTGTAGTTTAGAAATGTTGTAAGGTTGCAGTAAAGGAAAGCATGAACAACCAAATACTTTCAGATGAGATATAACTGGTAATTTGTCAAACAATAATTGAAATGGAGATTTGTTGTGTAAAAATGATGAAGGCAATCGGTTAATAAGATACATAGCAGTTTGACAGGAAAATGACCAAAACTGGGAAGGAAGTTTGGCATGTTGGAGCAAGGTTATGGCAGTTTCAACAATATGTCCATGTTTCCTCTCAACTAGACCATTTTGTTCAGGGGTATAAGGACATGACTTGTGATGAATAATGCCCTTAGTTTGCATGAATTGGTGTAATTAATGATTGACGTACTCTCAAACTCCATTAGTTTGCAAAATTTTAACAGAAGTTGAGAACTGAGTTTGAACAAATGCACAGAAGGAAACAAATGATGCAAAGAAGTTGGATTTATTAACAAGAGGAAATAACCAACAGAATCTAGTATATTCATCAATAAGGGTAACATAGTACTTAAAACCATCCATTGAAGTACATGGTGTAGGACCCTATAGGTCACTGTGAACAACCTTAAAGGGAAGAATGGACTGATGAGACCTAGATTCAAATGGAACCTTAGTGAACTTGCCTTCTAAACAGCTAGTACATAGTGTAGGATTAACATCTTTAGCATAAGATATAGCTGCATTTCGAAGTACTAAAGAGAGAGTAGAGTTAGATGGATGACCTAAACGACTATGCCAAAGATTAGAGTTGACAAGTCTTCCAAAGCATGCAATAGCTTGATGCATGGTTATCTGTGATCAAGCAAGTGAAGGGATATGATAGAGACCATTACTGCAATGTCCTTTGTACAAGATCCTCCATATGGCTTTGTCCTGAATTCAAAAACAATAAGCACTAAAAATGAGCCAGCAATTATTGTCAAGACAAATCTTGTGAACTAAGAGCAATAGGGGTGGGTTCAAAAAACCGAAAACCGAAAAAAACCGAATCGAACCGAACGAAAAAACCGAACCGAACCGAATTAATTAAATTAATTTTTTTATTTAATTATTTGTTTTGGGTATTATTTTGTAAACCCAATTTGTAAGTTAAAATGTGCTAAACCCAATGTATTGCCAAACTTTAAGCTCAAAATATTAAAAAAAGGCCTATAAAAACTCTAAACCCAATCCTATTATTTCTCCCCCATATAAGGTTCCGGAACCAAACCTCCTCCTGAAGTACCTACATCCATCTCCATAGCACTGTCTACTTCTGCTCCAGCTTTCTTTTCCAAATCTACTCTCATATAACATGTAACAGAATCCATAAACATTTATTTCGGGTAGATTACTTGGGTAATTTGTGATGGAAAAAAATTCAACACACACTAAATAAATCCACCCACGCATTACTTTTACTAATTAAGTTGTCAATATGCAGTTACAAGCAAACAACCTTGATCTTTGAACAACATCATACAATTTAACTTTTCTAAGTCATTTGTACGATTTTTGTGTTGTGAAGTTGTTAGTTTGGATTTTGGAAGACTTGATTGATGATTTTAGTTCAACTTTAAATGTTTATTTTCATTGTCTTTGATTCTAGTTAGAATGCTTATGTTATGATTGTGTTGGATATGTTAAAATTTAAAATTTCAATGTTTTTCATTTTTTGAAAAAAAAAAAACCCGAAACCGAACTGAAACCGAACCGGAAAAAACCGAACCGAAAAAAAAATGAACCGAACCAAACCGAATCGATTTAAACCGAACCCACCCCTAAAGAGCAAGTTATGAGATAATTGTGGGACATATAGTATGGAATTGTGTTTTAGTGGATGAACTAAAGGTTTGATAATACTACTACCAATGTGAGACACTTTCAAACCTTAGCAAGCCAAAATTAAGGTGTAGCTTGGGGAGAGATAGACTGAGATGATTGAGAGAGCAGTGTTCATGGCATGCATTGGAGTATGTGAAGTAGATGATGTGGAAGCATAAGGATAGCCATCCATAGGCGCAAATAGAGCCTAGGACACATGAGATTGAGAAAACTGAGGTGCAACAATGTAATTAGGACTCTTTTCATTGTAGAAACAAAACCATGTGGAGTGATTAAGTTTGCCACATATATTACAGCCTTGTCTTGGTGGTGGTTTAGTTCCACAAAAGGTAGCAGAATGACCAAATGTATTACACAATTGGCAAATGACTAAAGCAGAAAAATATCCACCACTTCTAGAACTGCCAAGTACACCATATGCAAAAGTGGGATACACAATGTATGACCATCTAGGAAATCGAGGCCCTTGATTGAATTTGCCCTTCCCTTCTGCTTGTTGTGATTAGACTATTTATAGCCACCAGAGAAGTAAGAGGATTGGCCAGTAGACGGTCCATAGTTGTTATGAAACTAGTGTTGAGGTTGCACATTGGTAGTTTTTGTCTCAGTGGAAGCATTGTTTGCTACCATTGCAGAAAGAAACTGTGACTGCACACTTGTTTCAACAACCAACTCCTCAGCTAGGAGTTGAGACCTGAAATCTTTAAGAGAAATAACACTTTCACGCCCCCCCCCCCCTTATAAGTGTCCTAAAAGTGTTGCACTTAGATGGTAAGCCATTTAAGGCAAGAATCACAATGTCTTTATAAGCAAAGTGTACACCAGCAGCTGAGAGATAGTCTCGAGCTTCTTTGATTCTTTGAAGGTACTATGACATGGAATCTGACCCATTTTTAATAGTTTGAAGGTTGGATTTCATCTGAAAAAATACTTGTTCGAGAGACAGTAGAAAACTGTTCTTTCAGTCTTGTCCACAAATTTTGAGCATTAGTGCTACCAATTGCACAAGAAACAACGATAAAAGATAAGGTAACAGTGATCAACTGCATTAATGCCCGATCATGCATCTTCTAGACAATATATGTATCATTTTCAACTTGCGTGGAAGAATTAGTGATAACATTTTCAACACTAAATTCAGCAGAACAATTAACCAATCTAATGGGACATGGATTATCATAATTATGCACAAATGAAAACTCGATAATTTGAACTAAACTTTAGGAAATGTAATACCAATTACTAATGCATCAATTAATCTAATGCTTGCAATAAGCTTCTGGGTGGGCTTGATTCGGGTCAGACTGGTTTATTCTAAAATGTGAGCCAAACCGAAGGCTTTACTCGGTTCGGCGGCTTTACTCGGCTCGATTCCTGTTCAATCCTACCGGTTATTGGTTTAAACTTTTCCCATTTTTTTTTTTTCAACCTCAAATTTTCGTCCAAAAATGAAAAATGTCCAACAAAAACAGAAAGAGGACTGTAATGGACAGAGAGAGGGAGGGTTGAGGTTTGGGCCTACACAAAAGGGTTGGGTTTTGAAGTTGGGCTTCAGGTGAGGTCCAATAATACACCATGAAATTATATTTATAAACAAATCAGTCCCGTTTGGTTTGGTTTAACGTTTAAAGAGTGACGGAAATCAAAACTGGTTACATAGGTTAAGTTTGATTTTTGGTCTGGATTCGGTTTTTTGTTTGTCAACTTGGTGTTTTCAGTTTTTGTTGGGTTCGGTCCCTTTTTTTTTCCCACCCTCCCACCCCTTAACGTTGATTGTATATAATTCCCACCAAACATGTTATTTAGGCGAATGCAATTTTCATCTTTTGGTAATGATGAATGAAACAGGAAAAAATGGTAGCGAACATTCACAAGATTTGAACTTAAAATCTCTCATTTATAAGTGAAGAGTATTACTACTAAATCTCTCAGTAGGCTGTAGAAAACTTAAGACCCTTCAATTACTAGTTGGAAAAAATCGTATAAAAGTTGAACAATAATTGATGTAGCGTGTAACCGAACATGACCTCAACATGGAATCGTCTTTTCCCTACATTTGTGTATCCTCAAATTGGAAATGAAAAAAGAGACTTTAATTTGTGGTTCAATGAATGAAAAATGATGACACACATCCATGTGCACTATCTTTCTATGATCATACAACTGGAATCTTGTTTGTTGGGTTGGTTTCCCGTCATCTTCAGATGACTCACGTCTGCAAATTAAATTATGAATTTTTATGAATGTTTTTACCAAGTCCCATTTGTTAGACTTAGACCTAGTTTCGGAGTGAGGTGCTTAAAAAAAAAGCATCCATGAAAAAAAACTGTGAGGGTTTTAGGTGTTTGGTAAACTGAAAAAAAAGGGCTTATTTTGGAAGCTGCTGTGAGAATGAGCTGAAATCAAAGGAAAAAACTGAAGCTGCTATTTGCAGCTTTGGAAAACTGGCTTTTTTTCAAAGCACACGGAGCTACAATGCTTCTTTAATGAAAAGACCCACTATTAGACTGCTTTTTTTTCCAAAAGCACTTTTACAAAAAAGTTTACCAAACACTCTGCTGATTTATTTTACAGCCGCTTATTCTTACAGCACAGCCGCTTATTCTCACAGCAGTTTTTTTTCAAAGCACAGCAATACCAAACCAACCCTTAGAACCAAGAAGAGCGACAAAGAACTTGCAAAACAATAGCTTGATAACACTCAAATGCAGGGAGAACTTTCTTATTGAATTCAAAGAGTGGCAGTGGCTATATAATAGCTTTACAAAAATAAACTGAAAGGAAATAACAGCCCACGATTTACAACCCTAGGATCGTAGGATCGTGGTATATGACTAAGTCTTAAACAGATAATGTAATAAACGTGTCCCTCAAGAATAGGGATTATTCACCATTATTAAAACAAATCCTAAAAACTAGGCGACCTAACAACTTGAACACCTTTCTATATAAACGTTACCTGCCCATCCATTACCAAATCAGACGCCCAACTCTCTCTCTCTCTCAAGTTTGATTTCTCAGAACAACAAACTTGTTCGCTGGGTGTAGATGATCGAGGCCAAGAACCAGGCCTTGTTCGCTGGGCACCTCGTTGAGCTCGAGCTCGCCGGTACCACACTCCTTTTACCATTTTCTTTTTCTTTATGAATTTATTATTAATAAGGAGAGATAAGAGAGTTCGAAACTATTTTAATAGAAAGGGGAAGTTTCAAAACCTGACACCTTAATAGAAATTCAATACCCTATCCATTAGGATATTATACCATATTTTTATATTATTTTTGTTGTCGTATCTTTTTGTTTATGTTAATTCAAAATATCAGTCCCTATTCACTCACAAATTTATCTCATTAATGTTTTCAATAGTCTTCGTCTGTCTTGTGTTTAAATTAATTATTTGGGATCTTTTGATATAAGCGCCTTAGTTTTGAATTTTCTAGATCAAACATCCATGCCTTGTAGTGATTTGATTAAACTTTTTTTGGTCATAATTTTAGTGCTATATGCACATTATATGGTAACAAAATTCCTATAATCTAGCATTTTGATTACACTATCTTCCTTCAGAGATAATTGTAAAAAAAAAAAAATGTTGGTTAGATTCAATTTATTTTCACAATAATGCTACAATTTAGCAATAATTATCTACGATTTAAGATATTTTCTTTCCAAAATAGTTTAAAATATTTTTAAATCCCACAAAATCAAACGTACTGAAATAAGTTTTTCTTTTAATACGTTAAGAGAAAATAGGATTGAGAATAATATAAATGTACAAATACACAATGTGTACAAAATAAACGTACCAAAATAAAAATAATATACCAATATTAACAATATGTATCAAATCAAACGTACCAAAATAAAATAATGCACCAATATTAACAATGTGTATCAAATCAAATGTACCAAAATTGCAAATACACGTACCAATTAATGATATTTGTAAATTCAAACATACCCGCATATAATATATACGTAATGTATTGTACCTAATAATAATTCATCAACAACTATACTTAAAAATAAAAAAAGAAAGAAAAAGAAAACAGCAAAAAAATATCACAAAAAAAATTGAAAGGATTACACAAAGCTTTTATGTTGATCACCAACTATTTGAAAGAAAAAAAAACCATTTGGAAAAAGAAATAATATTAAATGTTTGCATAACAAAAAAAAAAACTGTGATAAAAAAAACATATCTGGAAGAAGAGAAAATATAGTTTAATTACTAATATCTCCACTAAATAAGGAAATGTACATCATGCAGATAAAAGGATAAATTCAAAAATTGTTTTAATTTAAAAAAATATAATAATGACATGTAATTTAGCTTGAGGTGATTATTGATCAAAACACTTTAATCAAATTTTAAAAAAGTACAGATGTTTAATATAAATGATATAGAAAAACTGTAGGAGATTCTAATTTTCTCTAATTATTTCCTAGAACCGCTTCTGTTGTGATATTGAGTGTCAACTATCAGGTTGCTGATATTCTGCATTTTCTCCTTTTCCATCATCACGGTATCTATCCATTGTTCAGTTAGTTCCTTAGTTCTTCATGTAATACATTTCAAACTTATGAGCCTAGAATCATGGTTTCAAACTTATGCTGTAACTAAAGCTTCCTTTTCACATCTTTGATTTTTTGTGATTATGTTCTTCTGTCAATTTATTTGTTGGATCAAATTCTGACTGCAGACGGTTACTTTGAATGTGCTGGACTAGTCTCTTTGGTGCATGCAGCTTATGCATGCCGTTGAAAGGTCCGGACTAGTTTCTCTCTCACTGACAAATACCCAGGTACATATATACATATATACATATACATACATATATATATCTATATATATTCTTATGTGCTTTCACGTGAGACTCTTTTATCACCTTAGACTTGTGTAGTTCCGATTACTTTCATGTGAGAGTCTTCCACACTATTTAAATTTCATGTGTGAATAATGTGTCTTCTCTCTTGGAAAGAAAATACACACACAAACTGAATATAGCGATTTATATCATTTTTTACGGTGACATTTTACATAAAGATTTGGCATACATTATGGCATCAGAGATTTTCTGGATTCGTGTAATTGGAACTTATCCACTTTTAATCTCTATTTCTTGCAGCATGCTAAAAGTATTGCTAGTTGCAGCTCAAAAGTACGATTCTAGCAACAATGAAAATCTCTTTGTAATATTACAAAGATACTTTCAATAATATCCTCATATAAACCCACCATTCCTCTTCAATTCTTGCATAAACAAACCTTTAGGCCTAAGTGTGAACACGAAAAATTCCTGAAACGAAAGAGACAAGAACAACGTGCACAAACAAATATTTGTATTTGATGATTTTGGGTTACAATCTCTCTTCTATTTGATCATCTGATTCGATCTCCGTAAGGTGTTGATTTGGGGATGTTTCGTTGATCCAAGGGCCGTCGAGGCTTGATCTTGGATGAACTGTTGGAAGTTTCTTCAAGGGGCCGTGGGCTTGATCTTTGAAGGTGGATTTGAGCGGATCTTCAAGGAGCCGTTGGGGCTTGATCTTGAGGATGAGTGTTTCTTCAAGGGCTGTTTAAGGCTTGATCTTGAATAACGGTGATGAACGGATCTTCAAGGGCTTTTGGGCTTGATCTTGAAGAACGGTTGGATGTGTGGATTTGTTGATGATGTTGATCCAAGGGCCGTCGGGGCTTGATCTTGGAAGAACGATGAACGAAGAACGAAGAATACTTTCTTCAATCTTCAAGATGAACGGATGATGAACAATGAACACTTTCTTCAAGGGCCGTCGGGGCTTGATCTTGAATTGGTAGAAGTTCTTCAAGGGCCTTTGGGGCTTGATCTTGAATTGGTGGATTGTTGATCCAAGGGCCGTCGGGGCTTGATCTTGGAAGAACGATGAACGAAGAACGAAGAACGCTTTCTTGATTCTTCGGGAACCTGGATGCTTGAGAGCTTCGGAGTTTCAGAGCTTCAGAGCTTCAAGAATTTTGCCTAATGATTTTGGTTCCCCCTCCAAATGAATGAAATGGGCTTGTATTTATAGAATTTTCCAAGGCCTAATTTTGAATATAATATCCCAGATGAAATAAGTCGTTTCTGCCAGGTGTTGACACGTGTCCTATTTGATGACTTTTCCAACTCATTTCAATTTTCGTTGAGTCGCACGCTACGTGTAAAATTTATGTAATACATGAACGTTGACACTTTGATTTACCGGTCAACATTTATTTACCGAAATTTTGATGTCTACAAATGCCCCCACTTCAAGGCGCGTCGTATACATGTGTTTATCACGTGTAGGAGATGCGTTTTGAAGTCCCTTAATGTAGATGTCGATCCAAGGGCCGTCGAGGCTTGATCTTGAATTGGGCTGGAGATTTCTTCAAGGGCCGTCAAAGCTTGATCTTGAATTGGTTTGGAATTTCTTCAAGGGCCGTCGAGGCTTGATCTTGAAGGTTGAAATTGGACCACAAGGAGCTTTATGTGGTAGATGATCCTTGGCTTTGGTAGTGGATGAATCGGCACGTATTTTGTTGCACTTGTTGACTTTCCACAGCTTTGATCTTGAACTGGGTTGGAGGATTTTCTGGATTCCTCCAGTTTGTTGACTTTCCACAGCTTATTCTTGAACTGGATTTGATTCAAGGGTGGTGGACACTTGATCTTGAATCAGACTTGTGATTTCTTCCAGGGCCGTCGAGGCTTGATTTTGAATTTGGCTGGAAGCTTCTTCAAGGGCCGTTAAGGCTTGATTCTTGAAGGTTGACTCGAACACATGACAAGCAGGCACGAGGTGAAGGTGACGACTTGTTGCTCTGTTCAATCTTTCTAATTCACACCTGAGCAGTTTGGTCAATGATATGATCTTCAAGATTGATGGGCTCTTCTTCCAGTTGGTGACTTGATCTTTAAGGATTTGATTTAAGGGTGGTGAAACGGCACATGCAGTCCACAACGCCTAGTAAGTCGACCCAAGAATTTGAGGGTCAAAACGAGTTCACCGTCCAGAGTGATTGCAACCCTGATGATATGAGATACTTTTGATTTTGAAGAAGTAGCGGGTGAATCAGCACGTGCTTTGTTGCACTTGTCTCCACATGCTTCAATGTATCATTTTCATTTCCTTTATCTGTTCTTCAGGCAGATGTGGCATCTTTTCGAGTTCCTCATCTCAGACTCTTTCTGCTGAGTTGACTGTGCAGGCTGCATTCTTCTCTGCTTGTTTCTTCTGCACGTTGTCTCCACATGCTGCAAGGTATCATTTTCACTTGCCTTATCTGTTCTTCAGGCAGATGTGGCAGCTTCTTTGGAAGTACAGCAACAGTGGGAGACGAGTACTCGAGAGCAGTGCTAGGTAGGCAATCAGGGAAGGGTTCCAAGCAATCGGTTCCTTACCCGAGTTTGAGTGGAGGTTCCGGCATATTGTTTTCTTTATCCTTGTCTTTGTAGGTAAGAACAAGGACAAAGGAAAAGACGGGGAGAAAGCATGATATGAGATACTCTTGCTTTCTACCCTGGTGATATGAGATACTTTTTCTTTGGTGTCATTTGTTTGCAGAGGTACCCCAAGGAATAAAAAACACTGAGTAACTCGAGAGGCTTCGTTGGGAAGGCATTCTCGGAAATGAAGAAAGGTTCTCGGAGATGAAGAGAGGTTCTCGGAGATGAAGAAATGTTCTGTATGTCTGCCTTGCTATGGAAGGTGAAGGTGGACAGTTATAGGAAATTCTTTAGTACCTGTAGAGGTACTATTCTTTTACTCGTGTCAGTAATCAATGCGTGATTGATCAGTATGGCTTCACGTGCTTTCTTCTTTATCAGAAATCTTCGACAAATTGTCCGTAATTTTCGTCAAGCTTAGTGTGTATGTGACAGGTATTGACGAGGCTGAAAAAGACTGGCGCCTCTTCGATATCTGGGATCGGCGCTTCGATAAATTGCCCGTGATTTCCACAAAGCTGAGTTTGCGCGTGCTGGGTGCTGACGAGGCTGGAAAGACTGGCGCCTCTTAGATATCTGGGATCGGTGCTTCGACAAATTGCCTGCGATTTCCGCAAAGCTGAGTTTGCGCGTGACGGGTGTTGACGAGGCTGAAAAAGACTGGCGCATCTTCGATATCTGGGATTGGCGCTTTAACAAATTGCCCGTGATTTCCGCAAAGCTGAGTTTGCGTGTGACGGGTGCTAACGCGTCTGGAAAAGCAAGATGCTTCTCCGATTTCTGAGCTTGCCTCTTCGATTTTTGAATCGACATTTTTGAACTCTGAGCTCACCTCTTTGATCTCTGAAATCCCGTCGAGTGCCGATTTTTTTTTATAGAGGCACGCAGTTCGTTTCAAAACACACTTGAATTTTCGCTTGTAGAAACTCCCTTCTTGCACTTCTAAGGTCTTGATTTGTCCGACCTCTTCTTTCTTTCAACATTTTTTGAAAATGTCTGGCCCCTCCGACTGTCGTCTTGACTTGAACCTTGGTGAAGAGGCAGTCCCGCGTTCTCCAGACAACATATGGCGCCCATCCTTCATATCCCCTACTGGTCCTCTTACCGTTGGGGATTCGGTGATGAAGAATGATATGACCGCTGCGGTGGTGGCCCGGAACCTTGTCACTCCCAAAGATAACAGACTACTTTCCAGGCGGTCTGATGGGTTGGCTGTTAAGGAGTCTCTGGCTCTTAGTGTGCAGTGTGCGGGTTCTGTGTCCAACATGGCCCAACGCCTATTTGCTCGAACCCGTCAAGTTGAATCGTTGGCGGCTGAAGTGATGAGTCTCAAACAGGAGATTAGAGGGCTCAAGTATGAGAATAAACAGTTGCACAAGCTCGCACACAACTATGCCACAAACATGAAGAGGAAAATTGACCAGATGCAGGAATCTGATGGTCAGATTTTACTTGATCATCAGCGGTTTGTGGGTTTGTTCCAGCAGCATTTGCCTTCGTCTTCTGGGGCTCTGCCGACTGCTGAGGCTTCAAACAGTCAACCTCCGGCGCCTCCTCTTCCTGGAGCTCCGCCGAGTTGTGAGGCGCCACCTGATCGTCCTTGAAGATCCCCTCTTGTAAATTTGATTTGATTTGATTTGATTTTTTTTTAAGGTATGTATAATGCAAATTTATGTAAAATTTTCAGAAAAATAAATAAAATGGACTTTATTTCTCTCAATGCAATTTTTTTTTTTTTGCTATATATATATTATGTACACATATATATATATATATATCTATCTATATATATTATTTCTTTTTCTTTTGGCGCTGTACAACCATCCCTTTTTTTTTTCTTTTTTTTTTCTCTTTTTCTTTTGTCACATGGTGCCAGATGCACCATCATCATTTATTTATTTATTTATTTTTATTGATTTATTTTATATGCTTTTCAGATTGGTGCAGCACCACCAAGATTCCACCACTTTTTTTTTTTTTTTTTTGGTGTATAAATTAGGGTGCTTGGCTGAGGGATTTGTAGGGCTGGAGTTTGAGGAAGAGCTTCTCGGTCGACTAGTTGTTTAACAGCGGTCTTTGAAGTCGTTGGCAGCTGCGAGGCAAGAGACGGAAGAGGTCTTTGGGTGTGTATTGTCAAACTTCGGTTTTGTCAATCTCATTCAAAGGCAGCAGCCATAGCGGAGCAAGGAGGAGAGGAAGAGCTTCTCGGCCGGCTAGTCGTTTGACAGCGGTTTCTGAGGTTGTTGCCAGCTGCGAGGCAAGAGACGGAGGAGGTCTTTGGGTGTGTGTTGACAAACTTCAGTTTTGTCAATCTCATTCAAAGGCAACAGCCATGGCGGAGGTGCAGAAACAGC